AGACAGAGAGAGAGAAACATAGAGATAGTGAGAGGGGAAGTGAGAAATCACCCCCCAGGGGTATGGTCATGCCACGATCCCTTCTCTTCCATTCTCTCCCCAAAATTTTGGGCATGCACAAACACATGCCCAGAGTAATTATCTTTTCTTTTTTTTTTTTTAACTTTCCTTTGCTTTTCTTTTCTTTAACTACTTATTTATGTATTTTATTTTGACCAGAGAGGGACAGAGTGAGAGAGAGAGAGGGAAAGTGAGAAAGCAAGCCACCAGGTCCAGGATTTGAACTGCAGTTGGCCATGTAGGAGTCCAGCACCCTTAACCACCATGCTGCCTACTGGCCCCTTACACAGCATGATTTTTAAGCCACCAGGTCCAGGACTTGAACTACAGTAGGCCATGTGGATGTCCAGAGATTTTTACTGAGACTGCATTAAATCTGTGGATCAGTCTAAGGAAAAGTGACAGTTTTAATATGCATATTTCTAATCACTGATCCTCTCTATTTATTTAGGTTTCCTTTAACTTCCTTCTGTCAGTATAGTTTTGATATTCATAAAGATTTTACATGTTGATATACTTAAGCACAACTATTTCATAGTTTTGATGTTGCTATAAATAGGAATTGTTAAAATTTCAGCTTCTATTATAATTGTTGATATATAGGAATACAACTAATATTTTGTTGATCTTATTCCAGCAACCTTACTAAACTCATTATTTCTAGTCATGTATTTGCTGATTCTTTAGGTGTTTCTACTTATAAAATCATATCATTTGCAAGTAGTAATAGTTATTTTACTTTCCAATCCTTATCCCTTTTACCCCCTTCTCTTATTGCATATGCTATATATCTTCTCTTTGACACTTTATATCTTCAGAACTACCTCCCTCTCTTCTCTACCAGAGACTAGCTTGTAGGAACTAAATCAACAGGCTCTCATTTCTTTTAACTTCCTGTTGGGTTAAGCAAATGGAAAACCCTGGAGGAAAATTAGAAGGAAGAAGGAAGGTGAGGTCAGATTTATTCCCCTAACTAGGACAGGAACCCTGGTCAGTCATCTAGAATCCAACTTGCTCTGCAAAGTGCTTAACCACTGCACTATGGAGCCAGCCCTACTTTATTTTTTTATTGAAAAATAGTTGTGGGGTCAGTGGTTGGTGTGTTGGTTAAGGTGAAGATTGCACATGGTTGACTCCACAGTTTGTATCTCGGAGCCAGCAGCTTAAAAAATATACTGGGCATGTGTGCATGCATGCCAAATGTCCGAAGAGTAGAATGGAGAAGAAGAGATCCCAACCGCAGGGTGATTTCTATCTATCTCTCTCTCTCTCTCTCTCTCTCTCTCAATCTCTCTCTACCTCTCTTTGGTGAGTGCAGACACACTATGGCAAAAAAAAAATCTAAAAAAAAGGCCTTGGGCCAGCAGATGACATGGTAGTTAAGGTGCTGGATTCCCATTGGTGGTTAAGGTGCTAGATTCCCACATGGTTGACCACAGTTTAAGTCCTAGACTCAGCAGCTTGAAAATTGTCCAAGGTGTGTGTGCATCATGCCCAAAATCCCTAGAGAAGAATGGAAGAGAAGGGATTACAGTGTGGCCATACCCCTTGGGGGATGATTTCTCTCTCTCTCTCTCTCTCTCTCTCTCTCTCTCTCTCCCCCCCTGTCTCTCTCTAGCAAGTGCAAATAAAACATTTAACTTTTAAAAAAAGAAAAAACATTTGTTTTTTCTATCTATAGGATACTATGTAATGTATCGATATATGTATGTATTACAGAATGATCAAATCAGGCTAATTAACATATTTTCATATTTATTATTTCTTTGTGATAAGAACATTTAAAATCTACTCTTTTAGCAATTTAGAAATATACAATTCATTATTATTAAGTATAGTCAGTCACTACGTTGCACAATAGATCATTAAAACCTACTTTCCCTGACTAACTGAAACGCTGTACTCTTTGACCAACATTCCCCAGTTCCCCACCTCCTGCCTTCCCCACGCCTCTGGTAACCAACATTTACTCTCTCCTTCTATGAATTCGACTTTTTTAGATCCCACATGTAAGTGATATCATGTGCTATTTGTCTTTGTGTACCTGGTTCATTTCATTTAGCATAATGTTGTCTAGACTCATTCACATTGTCTCAAATGATATAATTTTTTGGTCTTTTTTAAAAGCTGAATATATTTCATTGTATATCTGTCAATTTTTTTAATCCATTTATTGTTGGGCACTTAGGATTTTTCCATATCTTGGGTTCTATAATGTTTCAATGACCTTAGGGGTGAAACATGTCTTTGGCATACTTAATTCAGTTTCTCTGGATATATACCCAGAAGTGGGATCACTGCAGCATATGATAATACTATTTTTATCATTATTTTTATCACAGCCATTCCAATAGATGTGTGGCGATATCTTGAGGCTTTCATTTGCACTTCCACAATGATTAGTGATGAACATTTTTCATGTATCTGTTAACTATTGTATGTCTTCATTTGAGAAATGCCTATTGAGTTCCTTTGTTCAATTTTAAATCGAGTTCTTTGTTTTCTTGTTATTCATTTCCCTATATATTTTGGATATTAACCTGTTACCAGATGTATGGTTTGCAAACATTCTTTCCTAATCTATGGATTCTCACTTTAAGTTTTTCCTGTTTTGTGTTTTGCTTTGTTGTTTTACTTTGTTTTGTTTTTCTCTGCAGAAACTTTTCAGTTTGCTGCAATCCCAATTGTTTATTTTTACGTTTGTTGCCTGGGCTTTTGGAAGTCATATCCAAGAGATCTTTGCCCAGACCTCTGTTGTAGAGCACTTCTTTCCCATGTTTTTTTTTTTTTTTTCTTAGTAGTTTTAAAGTGGCAAATCTTACATTTAGGTCTTTAATCCATTTAAGTCTTTAATCCATATACAAAATCAAATATGTCCAACTTTAAATTCTGCATATAAATAACCAGTTTTCCTAACACTGTTTACTGAAGAAACTATCACTATTGTGTGTTCTTGGCATCTTCGTTGAAAATTAATCGACTGTAAGTATGAGGATATATTTCTGGGTTCTCTCCTTTACCATTGAATTTTGAATACTCTACCTTTTAATAGATTTCAAAGTCAGGTGCTTCCAGCTTTGTTTCTGTTTTTGGTTTTGCTTTAGCTATTTGGACCCTTATAGTTTCAGACAAAATTTGGGTCTGTTTTTCCTGTTTTCATGAAAAATGAAATGAGCCAGGTACACAAAGACAAATAGCACATCATCTCACTTATATGTGGAATCTAAAAAAGCAGAACTCATTGGTCAGTGTTTTGTTTTTAATGACAGTGCCATGCTGCTTTGAATATTCTGGTTTTATAATAGATTTCAAAGCCTCCAGCTTCGTTTCTGTTTTTGTTTTTGCTTTGGCTATTTGGGGTCTTTTGGAGTTTTAGACAAATTTTAGGACTGTTTTCCCATTTTTATAAAAAAAGGCATTGGAATTTTGATAGATATTACATTGGCTCTGTAGATCACTTGGGGTGTTATGGACATTCTTCCAATCCATGGACATAGAATATCTTTCTGCTTCAATTTCTTTCATCAATGTTTTATAGTTTTCAGTAGGCAGATCTCTCACCTCCTTCATTAAATTTACTCCTGAGTATGTAATTTTTACTTTTTGATGTTATTATGAATGGGATTGAGTAATTCCTTTTTCAGATAGTTCATTATTAGTATAAAAATATTACTTATTTTTGAGTGTTGATTTTGTATCCTTCAACTTTACTGAATTAATTTATCAGTTCTAGCAGTTTTTTGGTAAAGTCTTTAGGTTTTCTAGATATGAGAGGACTTCAAAAAGTTCATGGAGGGGTTAGCAGGTAGCATGGTGGTTGTTTTTATAAATAGAATATTATTGAGTTCTACTCCATCATTATTTAGATCTGATCAGTTTTTAGTTATTTACACTGGATGTAATCAAATATATATTTAGATTTAAATCTCTTGTTTTACCATGCATTTTTTATCCAATGTGTTTGGTTTCCTTTCCTCTACTCTTTACCTTCTTTCATCACCCTATTTTTCTCTTTTCTATCTTAGATTCTATACACTTTTTTATTGGGGTGATTTTAAATTAATGGACTTCATTTTTCAGGACAGCTTTAGGTTTATAAAAAAGTTAAGCAGATAGTACATTTACCTCCTTTCTCTAATCTCCCCTCCTATTAACATCTCGCACCAGTGTGCTGTCTCTGTTACAATTGATGAGCCGATATTCATACATTCTAACTGAAATAATAGTTTATATTAAGGCTCTGTTTTTGTGGTGCACAGTCTACGAGTGTTGTCAAAGCATATTGCATGTATTGATCATCCACAGCATCATACAGAATGTGATCATTTCCCTAATAAGCCTTTTAATATTTGCCTTAAAGCTCCTTATCTGTTTGAATGGAGAACATTCATTGAGTCTTAGCACAAGGTACATTTTGTGGATAATTGAAAGAGAAAGTAAAATAAACTTTGGATAATTGGAAGAGAAAGTAAAATAATGGTTCCCCTCAGAGATTACAACATGTACCCTAGACTTTCCAAAGTCTAAATTATTTTTATGAGCTCAGTACAAGGACTTCTGTATTTTAAATAACTACATTTTGGGGGTGGGGGTTGGGGAGAGGATTTTGCTATAAGGCATGTGTGCTCGCCAGAAAGAAAGAGAGAGACAAAAAGACAGAAAGTGAGAAATCACCCCCTCAAGGGGGTGGCCACGCCACAATCCCTTCTCCTCCATTCTCCTCTCGGGATCTTGGGCACCCATGCACATGTGCCCGGCTTGAGTTTAAACCACCAGGTCCGAAACTCAAACCATGGTTGACTACATGGGAGTCGAGCGACATAGCCATTATGCCAACTGCTGGTCCCCTAAATATCTACATATTTTAATCCCACAAAATATGGTAATTCCTACTAGGCCAAACCTGCAAGTGGAAAAACATTGTTTTTCATTCTTCTTAGGTACAGAACATGATGAAAAACAGAGACAAAATGTGAAACCTACGAAGAACAAATCTCTCTTCAATGCTGTTAACAGTCATCAGTGTCTCCCCCTCCAGTAACATGTAGCCGTGGGTTTGTCATAGGTGGCCTTTATTGTGTTAAAAAAATGTACCTTCTAAGCCTGTTTGTCACCTTCGGTGTCAATACTATGTTCTATTTCCCACTCTGAAAAATAGATTAGGTGTTGAATAGGTTTTGGTGGTGACTCTATCTAAATGTGTTCTTAATTTTTAAGTAAATACCTGCAGTCTATATTTGTAAAGTTCACATCAGGGTTATAGATATCTCTGGCTAATCATACAAAAATATACACGTTATACTTATCCATGCATTGATATTTCAATACTTGTTCCCCTAAAACCCTCAACAATAAGTTCTCGAATTCCCAAGATAGTACTTCTCATAAAGCATACAAATCTGTCATGTCTTCAAGCGGTTTACACAATTTTCATTCAGAAAAATGTGTGGAAAATCATTTATAACAGCACTTTTTCTCTCTTAATGGAAGATTGTTATTGTAATATCTCTTTTGTATCTCTTAATTCCTTCAACATGTTCTTACTCTCTTTCCTCTTTAACCCAGTCTGTTATGGCTGCCATTAGTGGATATGAGTCAACCTTTTCCTAGAAATAGCTCACTCCTGATATTTAACCTAAAACAAATGTTATACAACTCTGTGCACACCTGTGAGTGAGGCAGACTGTCACTTCTTCATTTCGTTTATCCCTTGAAGAATAACTACATGATACACAATGTGTAACCAATTTGATTGGGATTTGACAGCAAAAGGCTTTAGATTTAACTCAGTTCATCTGATATTTGATCTGCCCAGAAATCATATCTGATATGATCATCTGATACTATTTTTGTGAGCTGAGCCTTTTGTTTAATATCTGTTGAGCATCAAGGCAGGCTTGATTATTTGTTATTTAACTGGTGACTTGGTGTTTTAATGTGGTCGTCTGTCAGTGAATTAAGCTTCATTTCTATTAATTAAACCTTCATTTCTACTAATTAAACCTTTAAAAAAGCTCATTATATCTTCAAAGTTTATTTTACTTTCTCTTTCAATTATCCACAAAATGTACCTTGTGCTAAGACTCAATAAATGTTCTCCATTCAAACAGGTAAGGAGCTTGTTTGATAATTGCAGGCTGACAAAGGTAAAAGCCAATAAACTTGCAGTACATTACGGGAAAAGTTTAAATTATATGACTAAGGTTATAACCAATCAATTGGTTGAACAAAATAACCCAAAAATTGAGGAGCCAATAATATCATTAGTGATCAAAAACACAATCTTAGCAACAGCATGTGAAATTAATTATTAGATCTCGTTCACCGGTTTCCTCAGCACTAATACCAGACAACTTTAACATGTTTTTGAAAGCAGAACACCTCAGACCTGACCACGCCAAGAAACTGAGTCCTTCCCACCTTCCCATTGGCTTTCTGTAAAGCCTTGCACAGCTGTCACTTACAATCTTTTGTAATGAATGTCGAGTGGGCCAGCAGGTGGTGTGGTGATTAAGGTATTGGATTCCCACATGGTCCACCATGGTTTAAGTCCTGGACCTGGCAACTTGCTTTCTCACTTTCTCTCTCTCTCTCTCTCTCTGTCTCTACTTGGTCAAAATAAAAAACAATGTTAATAAATAAAATGAAATAAATAATTATTTTAAAAAATAAAAGAATGTTGAGAGCGTCAAGAATTAGCCCATGACTCAAGTTGTGTCTTTCCACTATATCAAGACTGTGTTCACACCAAACGTCCTAGCACACAAACAAGCAGAGCAGAGAGAGGACAGGGCGGTGTGAGCCTGCTCGAGGCCAGTACCTGCACCAACACCACCAGAGACTCTACTCCAAGAGTCTGTCTCACCGGGATGGAGCTGTTAGCACGCATCCTCTGTAGAACATTGTCTCAGCAGTGCAATGTCACCACGGGTTCTGAGCCAGGCATTCTGAGCCAAGCTGCTGCTATGGAGGGGGATAGTCAACTGATTTTTTTTTAATTTATTTATTTTTATTTTATACATTTAATTTCTGTACATCACTTTTATTGTAAGTTGAATTTGCCCAACATGAAAATGCTTCACACCAGTCCAGTTGATTGACTCTTACCAGTGCCTCCAGGTTAAGGAAAGCTGAGGAGAGCTGTGAAGTGAGTGCTTGAGCACAACAGCCCCCTCTGGTGCACACTCAGAAAGGAGCCGAATACTGAATGGTTTAGAGCTAAGTGCCCTGCTTACCTGCTCTGTTGCCAAGGCAATGCCCTGTACCATGCATTCTTATCTTTCAGACCAGTTTGGTTATGGGCTTGTCATGGCTTGTGGCGATAGCAGCTTATCTGAGTCATTCAGGCAGGCCTTTTACTCAGGTCTGCAAAAGCGGTCAGGAAAACATGTTTGTTAAAATATGTTGCTTTGAAAATTGTGATGTTGAATGTTTAGCACAAGGAAGGCCACTTTTGAGCAGTGCTCTATACCCTGAAGACCAGAGGGGATGGACTTCTGTGGTTCTGCAGTCCTATCTGAACATGTCTGTCTGAGAGGAAAAGGAAGAAAATGAAGAGCAAGCTTCCCATGCAGAGAGCTGTCTAGTGTAGAAGATCAGTCAGCTAGAAGTATATTCCATTCTTAGCCCCTCAGTGGTAGAAAGTAGTCCCAGATAAGGAGTAAACAGTACAGGTGAGGATCTGGGTGGAATCAGCTGTCCAACATAAGAAGACAAGGCGTCTCCGAGTTGGCCCTTTCAGGGTAAGACCAACAGAGGACATGGATGGTCATGTAGAATAAAAACAGACAATAAAAGTTTCAGTGTCAGAGTAATAAGCTTAAAAGACAGGGTCTTCCTCAAAAGAATCTTCCAAGAATGCTTAGGAAAAAGAAATGATTCATATAGATATGAGGTTTGAGTGTCTCAAGTGTTCATGAGATAATAGTGCTTTTACATTATTATTATTATTAGCCCGAATTGTTTTAGCAGTTTCATTGTCAGCAGTAGGAATATTGGATTTTACCTGAGCAATTCTGATTACAATTACCCTCCCTCACTCCACCCTTGCGTCACCCTCCTTTCCTCACAGTATTCCAAAGGAAAGCTACTGGAGCAGGATTTTCAAGCCTATACGCTCCCCTCTTCTAATTGAAGAGTAAATATGACATCTTTAGTCATTAGAGAAATAGGAATCAGATCGACAATGAAATACCACTCCACACACGTTAGGATGGCTCTCATAGAAGAAGTAGTAATACGCCTCGGTGAGGAGATGGAAAAATTGCTGGTGGGAATGAAAAATGGTGCAGCCACTTGGGAAAACAGTTTGGCAGTTCCATATGTCATCATATGGCTCAGTAATTCCATACCTGGATATATCCCCAAGGGAGTTCAAAAATGTATCCATCAAAAACCAAACAGACAAAAAACTTAGATGTGAATATTCATAGCAGCATCCATAACCAAAATGTGGAAACAACCCTAGTGCCCATCATTGATGGACTTTTTAAAATGTAGTATAGATACACCGGAATATTATTTGGCTTTAAAAGGAAAGGAAATCCTGGGAACCAGCAGTTAACGTAATGGCTATGTCGCTGGACTCCCACATAGTCGACTGCGGTTCGTGTCCCGGACCCGGTGGCTTAGAACTCATGCTGGGTGCGTGTGCGTGCATGCCCAAGATCCCGAGAGAAGACTAGAGGAGAAGGGATTGTGGCGTGACCATCCCCCCCGGGGGGTGATTTCTCGCTTTCTGTCTCTATGTCTCTGTCCTCTGTCTGTCTGGCGAGCGCATGTGCCCTATAGCGAAAA